TTTCAGCATCATATATGAAATAACTGGATTAACAGTATTCATGCATGAATGTACTTTACACTGCTGGACATCTTAACCTATGTACTCTATATACTAATAAAGGGCTGGCTTACCTAAAGCCAGTTGAGTAGCACTTGAAATGTTTTTGCTCTATGAAACCTGATGCACTTTATGATTCTGTTTTCTTCAAGGTTGTATTTTGTTGGTCGAACGCACTTATTGTAAGTCGCTTTGGATAAAAGCCTCAGCTAAATGTAATGTGATGATTATATGATAATATGTATTTATACATGTATACATATTTGTTATTAGCTTATAATTGGTATTAAGGTAACTGGAACAATCTGAAACAAAAAATGAATTATTTATTCATGGGGCAAATTGGGTTTTGTGAGTTTCCCCATTATTGAAAAATAATAGCACATATTTACACAAATATAGGAAATTAAAGTACTGTAAGTGCACTTTGATTTAAGTACATAACTTTTGCTTGTAACATAATATTTTACACTACAACTACTTTTACTTCAATCTGAGTACATGAGTGTCATTCTCTCTATACACAAAACCAATTCACACACACTGTAAACATGTGAGGCTCACAGAGCTGCAGACGCCTGAACATTTCTTTCTCAGAAACTCCCTCGAATCGCCTCCAAATGTTCTTTAAGATCAGGAGGGTCACGCATACAGTCTAAAGTCTCTGACATGTGAACACCCTCCTCTGATTCCTTCTGCCTGCCGTCAGCCTTGTGTTTGTGCAGCGTGTTCTCGTCATTCATCCTTTACTAGGGGGGCCGGGGGCCGGGGGGGGGGCAGGGGGGGCATATGTTACCGGCATAAAGTACCAGAGGTAAGTGGGAGAGAGGTCAGCTGGAATAATCCCCAAACCCCCTCTGCATCACTTCTATTCAGAGGGGGGAGAAGTACACAGATCTTGTACTTGAGTAAAAGTAGAAGTACTCAGGTCTTGTACTTGAGTAAAAGTAGAAGTACTCAGATCGTGTACTTGAGTAAAAGCAGAAGTACTCAGATCTTGTACTTGAGTAAAAGTAGAAGTACTCAGATGTTGTACTTGAGTAAAAGTAGAAGTACTCAGATCGTGTACTTGAGTAAAAGTAGAAGTACTCAGATCGTGTACTTGAGTAAAGTAGAAGTACTCAGATCTTGTACTTGAGTAAAAGTAGAAGTACTCAGATCTTGTACATGAGTAAAAGTAGAAGTACTCAGATCGTGTACTTGAGTAAAAGTAGAAGTACTCAGATCGTGTACTTGAGTAAAAGTAGAAGTACTCAGATCTTGTACTTGAGTAAAAGTAGAAGTACTCAGATCTTGTACATGAGTAAAAGCTGAAGTACTCAGATCGTGTACTTGAGTAGAAGTAGAAGCTCAGATATTGTACTTGAGTAAAAGTACACAGATCTTGTACTTGAGTAAAAGTAGAAGTACACAGATCTTGTACTTGAGTAAAAGTAGAAGTACTCAGGTCTTGTACTTGAGTAAAAGTAGAAGTACACAGATCGTGTACTTGAGTAAAAGTAGAAGTACTCAGATCTTGAACTTGAGTAAAAGTAGAAGTACTCAGATCTTGTACTTGAGTAAAAGTAGAAGTACTCAGATCTTGAACTTGAGTAAAAGTAGAAGTACTCTGATCTTGTACTTGAGTAGAAGTAGAAGTACTCAGATCTTGTACTTGAGTAAAAGTAGAAGTACTCAGATTGTGTACTTGAGTAAAAGTAGAAGTACTCAGATCTTGTACTTGAGTAGAAGTAGAAGTACTCAGATCTTGTACTTGAGTAAAAGTAGAAGTACTCAGATCTTGTACATGAGTAAAAGTAGAAGTACTCAGATCGTGTACTTGAGTAGAAGTAGAAGCTCAGATATTGTACTTGAGTAAAAGTACACAGATCTTGTACTTGAGTAAAAGTAGAAGTACACAGATCTTGTACTTGAGTAAAAGTAGAAGTACTCAGGTCTTGTACTTGAGTAAAAGTAGAAGTACACAGATCGTGTACTTGAGTAAAAGTAGAAGTACTCAGATCTTGAACTTGAGTAAAAGTAGAAGTACTCAGATCTTGTACTTGAGTAAAAGTAGAAGTACTCAGATCTTGAACTTGAGTAAAAGTAGAAGCACTCAGATCTTGAACATGAGTAAAAGTAGAAGTACTCAGATCTTGTACTTGAGTAAAAGTAGAAGTACTCAGATCTTGTACTTGAGTAAAAGTAGAAGTACTCAGATCGTGTACTTGAGTAGAAGTAGAAGCTCAGATATTGTACTTGAGTAAAAGTACACAGATCTTGTACTTGAGTAAAAGTAGAAGTACACAGATCTTGTACTTGAGTAAAAGTAGAAGTACTCAGGTCTTGTACTTGAGTAAAAGTAGAAGTACACAGATCGTGTACTTGAGTAAAAGTAGAAGTACTCAGATCTTGAACTTGAGTAAAAGTAGAAGTACTCAGATCTTGTACTTGAGTAAAAGTAGAAGTACTCAGATTGTGTACTTGAGTAAAAGTAGAAGTACTCAGATCTTGTACTTGAGTAGAAGTAGAAGTACTCAGATCTTGTACTTGAGTAAAAGTAGAAGTACTCAGATCTTGTACATGAGTAAAAGTAGAAGTACTCAGATCGTGTACTTGAGTAGAAGTAGAAGCTCAGATATTGTACTTGAGTAAAGTACACAGATCTTGTACTTGAGTAAAAGTACACAGATCTTGTACTTGATAAAAGTAGAAGTACACAGATCTTGTACTTGAGTAAAAGTAGAAGTACTCAGGTCTTGTACTTGAGTAAAGTAGAAGTACACAGATCGTGTACTTGAGTAAAAGTAGAAGTACTCAGATCTTGAACTTGAGTAAAAGTAGAAGTACTCAGATCTTGTACTTGAGTAAAAGTAGAAGTACTCAGATCTTGAACTTGAGTAAAAGTAGAAGCACTCAGATCTTGAACATGAGTAAAAGTAGAAGTACTCAGATCTTGTACTTGAGTAAAAGTAGAAGTACTCAGATCGTGTACTTGAGTAAAAGTAGAAGTACTCAGATCTTGTACTTGAGTAGAAGTAGAAGTACACAGATCTTGTACTTGAGTAAAAGTACACAGATCTTGTACTTGAGTAAAAGTAGAAGTACTCAGGTCTTGTACTTGAGTAAAAGTAGAAGTACACAGATCGTGTACTTGAGTAAAAGTAGAAGTACTCAGATCTTGTACTTGAGTAAAAGTAGAAGTACTCAGATCTTGTACATGAGTAAAAGTAGAAGTACTCAGATCTTGTACTTGAGTAAAAGTAGAAGTACACAGATCTTGTACTTGAGTAAAAGTAGAAGTACTCAGATCTTGTGCTTGAGTAAAAGTAGAAGTACTCAGATTGTGTACTTGAGTAAAAGTAGAAGTACTCAGATCGTGTACTTGAGTAAAAGTAGAAGTACTCAGATCTTGTACTTGAGTAAAAGTAGAAGTACTCAGATCTTGTACTTGAGTAAAAGTAGAAGTACTCAGATCTTGTTCTTGAGTAAAAGTAGAAGTACTCAGGTCTTGTACTTGAGTAAAAGTAGAAGTACTCAGATCTTGTGCTTGAGTAAAAGTAGAAGTACTCAGATTGTGTACTTGAGTAAAAGTAGAAGTACTCAGATCGTGTACTTGAGTAAAAGTAGAAGTACTCAGATCTTGTTCTTGAGTAAAAGTAGAAGTACTCAGATCTTGTACTTGAGTAAAAGTAGAAGTACCAGAGTGTAGGAATACTATGTTACAGTAAAAGCATTCAAAATGTTCCTCAAGTGAAAGTAGAAAAGTATTCTCATCTAAATATAGTGAAAGACAGTAAAAGTATTTGTTGTGCAGATTGGTCCATTTCAGAATAATATATATATATGTTTTATAATGATTGATCATGAAAGTGTTCTCAAAGCTGGTGAAGGTGCAGCTAGTTTGAAGTACTTTGTATACTGCAGGGTAGCTGGTGGATTTACTCCAGGTGGAACTAAAGTCTGATTTAACACTTGGTTATATTTCACATCATTCTTCCACATCTGAGAAGTAACTGAAGGTATTAAATACATGTAGTGGAGGAAAAGTACACAGTAGCAGAAAATGGAAATACTCAGGTAAAGTACAAGTACCTCAACACTTTACTTACAGTACTGTACTTGAGTAAATGTACTTAGTTCACACAATTGTACTTAAGTTGCTACAAATTGGTGAAACTGGTTCCAACTCTGATTGAGATGTGTTTTTCCACGTGTGTGTGTGTGTGTGTGTGTGTGTGTGCACACGCACATTCGGCTCGTGTTTAAACTTGTCGTTACTATGCATGAGTCATAGATGACGTATGGTGGGTTTCTAGGCGGGCCCAGGTGTGCAGTGACTCAGATAAATGTTGCTCAACTGGATCAGGTGTGTATCCAAGAAAGAACCAGTTATGTAAACCACGTCACGTTCATTATGCACTATTCAGGGTCAACCTGTAGCCTTGTGGTCTCACACATTCATTCATTCATATAGAAATCACATTTTTAGAGGAAAATTATCAGAATATTTGATCTATTCCGGGTAAACAGTTAAAAATCTTTAGATCTCTCTATGTTTCCAAAGTATTATTATATTATTTTAGGATTTAGTTCTAATCATAATACATTTTGTGTCTGTCAGGACCTGTTGCTCCATCTGCTGGACAAGAAAACTCACATTTTCGACAGCCTTTCGAAATACAGAAAAACCTGCTATAAACAAAAATATATATTAGTTTGAACAGTTATATTTGATTAAATCTATTTAGTAGATTATATGTTTCAAATATTTTTTGAATCAAAAACATCTATTCTACATCTTCGACTCACTTTGAAACAACACATCAAGAGAGTACTTTACATGTCATGTGTTCAGTTTGAAGGTCTACCAAATCTGTAAAATTAAGATTAAAATGAAAAAATAAATAGTTTTAATAAATGTGTTAAACAGCGCCCCCATGTGGCTGCTGACAGAAGTACAAACTTCACTGGAGTCAAAACAGAGAAAAATCTTTATTGGAGACAACATTAAAAAATACTGATTATAAAAGGAGAGAAATAACCTCAGCACACACTCTCACATACACACTCTCTCGCACACTCTCACACACACTCACACACTGTGTAGTGAATCAGTTCATCCATCTGTCCGTGGATTCTCTTTCCTTCAAGGCTGCAGGTATCCCATGATGCATTGTGTTTTGTCACCAGCCGAACATGTACTCCATGGCTTTGGAAACCATACTGTCGTCTTTCCTGGGCGTCTGTCTGTCTGCTAACACCTTAAAACACACACACACACACACACATTATTACTTCTAAAAAGGGACGTATAAGGCTTTTTTTTGGGTTTCTAACAGATTAAGAAAAATTCAATTTAAGATTTTATTTAGAATAGAATGTGGGATTTGATGCATTTAAATATAAAACAATTTATTTACCTTAAAGACAGTTTAATATCGATTAAATCCTTCATCCTAATGGTTAATGTTTAAAAAACAGTGTTTAACTACAGTCAGTCTATCAGTCTATAATGTTTGAGCACTCAAGTCTGCTCTGATTTTTTGGGGACAAGTTGCAACCATTAATTATAGCAAACATTAACAGCTTGTTAAATCATGTTTTGAATGAGTTGTCTTATTTCTGTACTAAAGATACCCAGATTTTTGTGCACAAGATCTCAAAAAGTACATTCCTTTTTACAATATGTCCCCTTTAAGTGTCCCAGATGTACAGTTTATACGGTCTCAGTGAATGTTGAGGTCGGAGGTCACCTGGTAGTCGCTGCCGGCCGTCTTGCACTTGTAGCCAGCGCTGAGCGGCCTGATGGCGGAGCGAGGAGTGGAGGGGAGGACGGAGGAGAAGGAGGAGGAGAGAGGCGAGGAGACACTGCTGTCCATCACACTCTGAGGAGAAGAGAGAAGGAAAGGGATTCAAACTGGGATCAAAGTCACCTGATGTGCAGGGATAACGTTGGGCTATACAGGAACTACAGCACGGTCCCATGACTTCACGTCACCACCGCTAAGCTAAAGGTGGCTAATGTTGGGCTATAAAGGAACTACAGCACGGTCACATGACTTCACGTCACCACGCCTAAGCTAAAGGAGGCTAATGTTGGGCTATAAAGGAACTACCAGCACGGTCACATGACTTCACGTCACCACGCTAAGCTAAAGGTGGCTAATGTTGGGCTATAAAGGAACTACAGCACGGTCACATCACTTCACGTCACCACCGCTAAGCTAAAGTGGCTAATGTTGGGCTATAAAGGAACTACAGCACGGTCACATGACTTCACGTCACCACCGCTAAGCTAAAGGAGGCTAATGTTGGGCTATAAGGAACTACAGCACGGTCACATGACTTCACGTCACCACCGCTAAGCTAAAGGTGGCTAATGTTTGGGCTATAAAGGAACTACAACAGCACGGTCACATGACTTCACGTCACCACCGCTAAGCTAAAGGAGGCTAATGTTGGGCTATAAAGGAACTACAGCACGGTCACATGACTTCACGTCTCCACCGCTAAGCTAAAGGTGGCTAATGTTGGGCTATAAAGGAACTACAGCACGGTCACATACTTCACGTCACCACCGCTAAGCTAAAGGAGGCTAATGTTGGGCTATAAAGAACTACAGCACGGTCACATGACTTCACGTCACCACCGCTAAGCTAAGGAGGCTAATGTTGGGCTATAGAGGAACTACAGCACGGTCACATGACTTCACGTCACCACCGTCTAAGCTAAAGGTGGCTAAATGTTAGGGCTATAAGAGGACTACTACAAGCAACGGTCACATGACTTCACGTCACCAACCGAGCTAAGCTAAAAGGAGGGCTAATGTTGTGGCCTATAAAGGAACTAAAGCAACGGTCACATGGACTTCACAGTCACCCAACCGCTAGAGTCTAAAGGTGGGCTAATGTTGGGCTATAAAAGGAAACTACAGCACGGTCCACATGACCTTAGTCACGTCACCACCGCTAAGCTAAAGGGGGGCCTTAATGTTGTGGCTAGTAAAGGAACTACAGTACGGTCACATGACATTCCACAGCTCACCAACCGCTAAGCTAAAGGTGGCTAATGTTGGGCTATACAGAACTACAGCACGGTCCCATGACTTCACGTCACCACCGCTAAGCTAAAGTGGCTAATGTTGGGCTATAAAGGAACTACAGCAAGCGGTCACATGACTTCACGTCACCACCGCTAAGCTAAAGGTGGCTAATGTTGGGCTATAAAGGAACTACAGCACGGTCACATGACTCCAGTTACTGACCTTGTCCTATGCAGGGTTTTGACTCCCACCATGATGGCGTCTCCGAACACTTTCCCGTCTTTGGACAGAGCTTTCCTGGCCTGCAGGCTGGACTGATACTGAAGGTGCATCCAGTTACCAGGAGACGCCATCTGTAATCAGGACATCATCAAAACATTTATCATATTATATTTCTTGAAGACATCTGTGTTCACCTCAAACATCTTCAGACTACCTGCTGTTGTTCCTAACTCCATTCGAAGCTTTATGATGGTCATTGCTTGCCTTGTCTCTCACGTCTTTGTTAATGTGTTGATGCATATTCATGTTTATACACGACTCGAATAGAGAGGATTTCGTGTCTCACCGTGTGTTTCAGAATGTTTCCGTACTGAGCGAACTGCAGCAGGATGTAGGAGGCTGAGGCTGGAGGAAAACTAACACACACACACATTTAATCTACATGTATTTACCGTATATATTATGCAATGATAGCAGTATATATTGAGCAGTTAAAATACCCGAACACAGTGATCCAGGTCTGGTCCAGCTGGTCGTCAGACGACAGAGACTCTCCCTGACTGTAGAACGGATCCACCTGAGCTGGAGAGAGACACAACTGCACACCTGAAGACAGACAGGTGAGTACAGAGAGAGAGAGAGACAGAGATGGAGACAGAGACAATTACAATGAAATTCTTCTGACCTGAGCTCCTCCAGCAATGCAACATATATAATAAAATACAAATAAAAATAGTGCAAGAAGCCTATAAACATGTAAATATAATATGATATGTACAAAAACAGAATATGAAATTAAATAATAATTAAGACATTTAAATACAGACAGACGAGTACAGACAAAGGCTCCTCCAAAGAAAAACAGCTGCTAATTATTTAATAAAAATAAACCTATAAATAAACATTACTGCTTTGTTTTAAAATGGCAGTAGTACGAGTGTGTGTGAGTATGAGCGTGCATGTGTGTGTGTGCGAGCGTGCATTTGTGTGTGCGTGCGTGTGTGTGAGCATGTGCGTGACTGTGTGAGCGTGCATGTGTGTGTGTGCGAGCGTGCATGTGTGCGTGCGTGCATGTGTGTGCGTAAGCGTGTGTGTGTGTGAGCATGTGCGTGACTGTGTGAGCGTGCATGTGTGTGTGTGCGAGCGTGCATGTGCGTGTGAGTGTGTGTGTAAGCGTGTGTGTGTGTGCGGTGCATGTGTGTGTGTGTGTGTGTGTGTGTGTGTGGAACTAAATACTACTAGCAGCAGCAGAACAGTAGTAGTGAAGGTATTATGGATGTTACCTGGAGTTGAACCCCCCCGGGCCAGGAAGAGGGGACTGCATGCCTGGAAAGCCTGAAAAAAGAACAAAGGGAAAAATGTTTTTTAAAGGGGACCTATCATGCAAAATGCACGTTGTGTATGTCTTCTCTCCATCAACATGTGTCCCCGGTGTGTCGGGGAACTCACAAAGTGTCAGGAAATAAAACCCTCTCTCTTTCCTCCGTACCCACATCTCTAAAAACGGGGGAACAACGGAGCTGATCCAGATTTGCGTCCGATATGACGTAATATCTGAAATGTGGACCCACGGCCCAATCAGAAACGCTGCTATCAGAAACAATGCCCGACTGTTTTGGACGTAATATGGGTCGGTGGTTACATTAGCATCGGCTAACACTCAGAGCTAACCTGTACTGGAGAGCATGTGTGTGAAGAAGCAGGAAGTAGAAAGGAACTCACCTTGTGGTATAACCGGCAAGAGAGAAAGCCTTTGAGCTCCAGACTGTTTCAGATCCTTGATAATCCATGATATGGCGTTTCATCACGGCAGCATTTAGTTTAGACATAGCTGCCGGGTCCCGCATGAGCTCAGACCCCTCTTCTTTAAAGCTTTATACCCAAATCAGCACTTTTGAAACAGGAAGTGAAATAGAGGGATATGAGCTATGGCTAGAATGGGTGATGTGTTTGGTATTTTGACCTTAACACTTCAAAGACACGTTTTTTATATATTTGTATATATCTGAGACCTATGCTACTGCCTACCTTTAAATGTTTGTTTTGCTTTGAGCCTAAAAACAGTATAATTAAACATTGCCTTGAGGTTTGTAAGTTGTCAGTATTGTGAAATGATTGATGCTCGTCTAGTTGCTAATAGACTCGGCTAACAGGATTCCTTGAGCTTAAGAAAAGTAACATTTGAGACTTTAGTATAAATCTCACCAGATGCGTTTAATTTTTCAACCCCTTCCATGAGTTCTTTATCTTCACGGTCATCTGTATATTTGTTTGCGCTCTATTGCTGATTTATTTATATTTCTTTTGTGAGACGTTTATATTTTAGAATTGTTTATTTTTACGCTTTTAATTTGTTGTTATGTATTTGTTCTCACCTGTCCGTGTGTTTTTAGGGGCGTGGTCATAGTAACCAGGTCGTCATGGATACTGCGTACAGGCGGGGCTCCACTCTTGTCTTTAGGCGTCGGGACAAAAGGCAGCGGAGCAGAGACGATTCCACCTGAACCAGACAGGAAACATGTGTTAATCCACAGAGTAAACAACAACAACAACAACAACAACAACCTGCTCTAAGGTCATCAGAGTGAAACAGAGAGACTTCAACTCCTTTTGTAAGCAGCAGATTCTGCGGAAAGCAGAGAGCAAACTGGCTTCTTAGGCCGCAAGGTGAACCTCGAACAGTCCTTTAGAAAAGAAATCCCGCTCCACAGAAGTGGAACTACACAATCTTTAGTTCATCAAAAACAACGAGTCATGCTTATCCACCAAAGTAATAATATAGTAAATATATAGATTATTATTATAGAGATATATATATATATATATTATATTATTATTATTATTGTAATATGATAATATTGTATTTGTAACTTCAAAATCAATGCCACCGTTGTAAGCTTGTCCTGTACGTATTGGTAAAATAATCAACCTGTTCGTTCACAGACGTAATATGCATGTAACAATGTTTGTGTGTTGATCATTTGGACTTTTTGAGACTTTCTGGTGCGTTTTCCTCGTTCCCGCTACTCCATGAAACCATGGCGGTCGCCATTTTTTCCAAATCTGTTTGTTGATACCGGTATACAGTATGCAGCTACCCAATTGGTGTAGCACGATCACGTGACGGACCGTGGCACTACTTTTGACCAAGATATCATTACGCTTTGAAGGGACTAGTTCAGCCAATAATTACGTGCCTAGAAGAATTGACAGGATTTTAGCGGCGAACTTTTTTTTGGTGGATAAGCATGACTCGTTCTTTTTGATGAACTAAAGATTGTGTAGTTCCACTTCTGTGGAGCGGGATGAAACGATAACAGGGTTCACCTTATGGCCTATCTGGAGGTCATGTTCTTGACACAAGCGGCTCATTGCAGGATTAATAAAGTTGTTGTTGATTGGTTGATTGATTGATTGGTTGATAGGTAGAATTGGGAGGGATGAACCCCTCTCTAACCCCCTAATCCCACCAGGAGCGACTCTAGTCAATGGGTGCTATTCCACCAGACACGCTGCGCCGCGGCTCGAAGCGTCCCAGAAGCTCCTCGCCGCAAGGAATTTCTAAAATATAGGATGAATCCTATTTTTGACGCGGCGCAGGCAGGAAGTGGAATGTTCATCCAACAACTGCGAGGCTGCACACAAGACGCTCCGCTTCCGCAACGTTTTGAAACGCGCCTGGTGGGTTAGGACGCAGGAGGAGGTCGCAGCGCGGCGCAGACGCTCCTGGTGCGATTAGGGGGTAATGGTCTCACATGCAGAGCACACAGTGACATGTGTTCTCTGCTTTTAACCCACACTAGCACCAGGAGTCTAGTACTAGGAGCAGTGGGCAGTTATTGTACAGCGCCCGGGGAGCAATGGGAGTGGGGGGTGTCCGGTGCCTTGCTCAAGGGCACCACGGCAGGGCAGGAGGTGAACTGGGACCTCTCCAAGTAGCAGTCCACACTCCATATTTAGGTCCAAGCCCCTACTGACTGAGCTACTGCCGGACAAATTGTGATTGTGTCCAAAATGTTTTCACCGAGGGCCACATACAGAAAAACATACGAAGGGCTGGGCTGCTCCATAGAAGTATACTGCCTCATAAGTTCAGTTATAAGTTGGAAGAATCAATCCAATGCAGGTACATTGAAAGAACTCCATAAACCAGGGGTGTTGTAAACCTGCTCAATACTTCATTATTGTGATGCTATGAACTATTTATTGTGTAAATGGGAATGATCCACATCCAGGGGCGTATCTGTGTGTTTTCTTCCTGTATGTTCCTGCCTGTGTTCATTGCCCTTTGCGGGATTAATAAAGTTGTTGATTGATTGAATGACAACAACAACAACAACAATCAGCAATAATCTGAGCGGCGGCTTTCCTTCTGACCTCGGGGTGTTCCTGGGCTCTCCATCATGGAGGTGCCCAGGTTGAAAGGTCGCGGCTGGGGGGTGGTGGGAGCGGGAAGGTCTCCCATCAGGAAGCCGGGCAGGAACTGAGCTCCAGGGGTCGGCTTGGGAGAGGTCGGGGAGCCCAGGGTCATCGGTTCAATTCCCACTGAGAGACGGGAAAACACGGTTAACATGTGGAGAACAACAACAACAACAACAAGTCACACAAAACAGACCGCAATACCTGCAATGGGGAATATAGACACTTCTTTAGCAATACTGTGCAATCATCACCTTTCATCCTTTTAGCTTATTGTTTATTAATGCATGCACCTACTTACCTAATGTGCCACTGTGTGCTGTAATACTGTAAATGTCCCGGCTGCAGGACTTATAAAGCATTTCTGATTCAGACGAAATCAAAGCCACATCCATTTGGTGCTTTGTTTTTGTTTGTTAGAGAATGCTGCTTGCTGGCCCGTTAATTTAAGTTATCATTCAAATCAACTTTATTTGACGTGTGTTGTGTGGATCCTTTTCCTCCTCAACAGCTGGGACGTAACTTCAAACTTCACTTATACGGCACTTTTCATACACAAAGGTTAGTGCTTTACAAAGCAAACACATAGACCACTTAGAAGATAAAACAATGCTATCTCCTCATGCTTTAAGAACACTGTACTTATTTCCTCACAAATGTAAATTAAACCCGATTTGCATTTCATTTTTAAACCAGAATGTACCATCATCCAGAGTAACACATACTTGAAAGTTGTAGTGGAGTAGAAGTAGCACACAATTGAAATACTCTGAAAAGTAAAAGTACCTCAAAATTGAACTTAAGTGCAGTACTTGAGTTAATGTACTTAGTTACTTTACACCTCAGAGAAATGCGTTGTCTTGTCAGTCTGTGTTTGCATGATGTACTTTCCCTGAGCTACCGGACTCTCCTGGCAGGCAGGGGTTCATAAAGGGATAAATAACATCAGGACATGATACAAACGGATATCGGATTAATAACTTATATTAAACATGTTGTTTACCTTGTAACTCCATCTCGATGTTCAAAAAGCAGGAAGTTCCGCCGGTTTAAAAAATGTGGCCGTCTAGCTAATGAAG